AGCCTAATCAGTTTGTCAGAAGAAACTTTTCTGCCATGCAGAGCGAACATATATCTCTGATAATGAAGAACAATCATCCAGAAACGCAAAGATCGAAAACAACTACCATGCAATTACTCATTGATCGTCAGCTGAAACAACAAGTGGCATATAATCGTGGCGTAAGGTAATATTGTCGTACTGTCTGTCTGAAAAAAATTTTGTTTCTTTTATATGTATTATCCCTTGTTATTGCTATCCTTGGAAATCATTTACTATAAGTATTCATCGTCTGAATATTTTACTCTACAAATTTAAAATTCTGAACTGCTCAACAGTTCATTAGGATGAAAATACCACGTTGTACCGATATCAGCTCTACTGCTGAAACAAAAAACCTGACTTAGTAATAACCAAAGCGTAAAGCCGGATCACTGGCCGGTATGCATCGATAGATTCAGTCATGAATGTATAATGGTTACAACCTGCAAATCAGCAAGGGGCAATTTGAAAGGAACTGTAACTGCGTTGGAAAGGGTTGCGAACTTTCAAATTTCAGCATGTATACGTGCACTTGATTATGAGTTTGACTCTTTGAATAAACTGTAATTTTGAATTCTTTACTCCGAAATTTGTAAAAATTTTATAAAAATAGTTATTAATTTAAAATTCTTTTTATCCGGCAGATTTGAATGACATGATTTAGTCTCATTTTGACTGCATCGTTGTTGATCCGAACTTTGGCATTCCTCACTTCGTCGTTGACTTCTTTTATGGTCAAATTGCTGTTGTCAAGTGATGAAGGAAAGCTTGTGAAGCTTTTGGACATTTTTTCAAACAGGTAATCCGTTAGATCTACTAAACGCATTATTGAAAGATTCCGTGATGATGCGTGTTTCGGGTATGTAAGTGTTCGGTTTCGTTGAAGCTTACCCAAATGATGTTCATGCTGTCAGTTGGTCAGGGTTTGCCAGTTGTGATGTGGCGATGTCAGAGCTATGCGGGGGGGTTATTTTGTCCCCTTCTCTACAGACTTCGTTTCGCTTTAAAATCACTGCAGTTACGTGTTGACAAATTTTAAGCCGTATGGTTCACGAAAAGATGATGTTTGTAAAATCAGGCAAATACATCAGGTTGTTTTATTAAGTAAGTGATGTGTAAAACAAACTAGACATCCGCCACGTTCATCGAATCAATTTTTTCTGGGTATAGTCCTTCATTATATTCAATACCCAGGAATCTGTTCTTTCTTGTAGATAGCACTTATGCTATATTGATTGCTTGTGTTTATGTCTCTGATATAATGAAACGGAGTCTGAACTTCTAGGGTACAATCTAAGCTCAAGTTCAGCTATGTATAATTCCTAGTGATGGCGAAAAAGGCAGAAGCAGACGTCCTGAAATGCAATAGCAGCGTTGCAGATGAGCTGCGAAACCTGAATGAACGGGTAACCTTCTTGTCGCACCAGGTCAACCAACTGATGGACGGTCTGCGCATCCGCAAGTGCGAGTGCTCCCGCTGCGCTTCATTAATCAAGTCCTCCTTTGACGTGACCGGCGTTGGAAAGATAAAAACGCCCTTTCCTCGAAATCGCGGTAGTAACGGTGAGAACACTGTTGCCAGGTGTCCTAAATGCTAATCTGGTACCCTGATTTAGGGCACGTTTGCGAATATGTCAATTCGACCATGAATGCGCTGCAGAAAAGTCACAGAAGAGTCACTGATAGCGTGGATCAGCTGCTGCCAAAGATCATGGCCGAACGCGTGTCATGCGCCACCCCTGCGACTCCTTTCAGAGTGACCAGTGTCCTGGAGAAATTATCGACCAGTATAAATGGTTCGTGCATGAATGTACCCGAACTGACGAGCGAAGTACATGTTGAAGACCCTGATGGAGGTCAGCTATCATCACAGGTTTTGACGACAAATCTTTTAAGTATGGTTTTATAGAGTCAGCAGCGTTGCCGGTGATTGTTCAAGAAAGAAGCACGCGTCATACCCAGGGAGATGCTGCTGTAAGAACTATTCATCGTCTAGAGTTGAACGTCCGTTATTAATATCTTCATGGTCTAATACCATAGGATAAATCTTGCATAAAAGATGACGAGTTGTTGCCTTAATTCCTAATCTTTCTCATTTACGATGAGACACTTCTCTGAAGAATCTCATCTTCTCAGAAGGGATGCTTTTTATTACGCTGATTGGAGTTTTGCCTACGCTAAATCAGAGTTATTACGCTAAACAACATAGAGACATAGCTCACGTTGTCATGGGACTTGCTGTATTATTTGCCATAAGATTATTTCGAGGTGATTATTGAAAGGAAAATTATGCAATGCGCCCGTGTTTACGCCCGCATGGTCGCATGCGTCAGTAAACGCGGGCGTTAAAAGATTGATCACGTGAGCAACAAACTGGAAAGTGCCCTTCGTGCCACTCAGCCAAAATGAACTGAACACCGGAAGTGTCGTTTTCTATTTGTCGCCAGCTCCGCCTTCGTTTTGCAACGATCGGAAGAACATATCAAAATAAAATGGTATGGATGGTACGGACAAACTGAACGAACCTGTCATTTGCGAGGCGTTCCAGATTGAGATCAATAGCCAGTTCGCTATTATGAGCAATATATCCTACCAAGACCCGAAACTGTACTACCACTGCATGAATCAAGGGATTAGCGTTGCAGCTACCAAGACTATTTGCTTCGACGACAGGAAGACGAAGCGCCCTTAAATTAGGACGGAAGCACTGAACCTTAAACAAGAAAGATTCGCAGCGAACCAGTTGACCATGAGGAAAGAAAGAAAAGTGCGTATCGTTTGCTCATCAAAGCAATGAGCATGAACTGATGTAGAGACAAACGCAAGTGCTGAACTTCACAGCACTAAAGTTGGAAAGCACATCGGCGAAAGGGAACTGAATTATACTGTACGGTTAGGTGAATACCTTCGCCAGTAGTGGCCTACAAAACAATACTTCAGGGGATCTGTTATTAAGCAAGTTCAGAGAGTATCGAAAGACGCTGATCGCCGTTGTGTATAATGAACTGACCACTTCCCAAAACTCTATAATAGTGTTATTCCGAAGGCAAATCTTGAAATCGGATAGTGTAGTAGACAAGACTTGGATGTGAACTAGGCCTCACTGGGGTTTCAACAAGTACTAGTTGTCCTCTTCAATTAGCTTGAAGTCATGAAGAACGAGTGGATTTGTTCGCGAAGAGGGAATTTTTACAGATGGACATACCTGGCTTCTGATGGCATCTGGGGCGAAAGAATGGTGTGGTCATCCAGATTTTCAAGCGGTGGAGTAGCACTGATGCATTGACTTGGTAAAGGTGGTTTAGCGGATCTTCCTTCGAGAACATAAAGCGGTCGATCGTTCTATGCAAATAAACTAGACCGGTTTCCTGTGCGGGCATTCGTGCATGGACAAACTCTGCGTGATGCAACGAACAGTAAAGCCCTGTAGAAACTGTGAGCTGCCCAGCTTTGCTACATTTTTGTGCTTCTGGGCAAGGGTCGATTCAGTTCGTCGCCAGACCAATTGGTTACTTGACACCATGGAGTTCTACAGGCAGTGGTAAACCTGCTAGAAGGGGTGTTTCAAGGAGCAAATTGTGCCATGCTCACTGAAGGATAACTATTGGATTGGTTCAATATCGTTATTGGAGTTTGTCAAAGCAAGTGCTGTGCTCTCTCTTTTGTTGTTAAACGTCAAGGAGATGAGTATCGCCTCAGGTTACTGTTACAAGTTTTGACCGCCTGTCACCTACGCAGGTCAAAGTGTTTGGCGCTACTTTAAGTAGAGGTTGAGTATGCTGCTGACTTTCTTTTGGCCGATGGCTGAAGCGTCGTAGTCACTGACCGAATGCTTCTAAAACACGGCTGTGGCTAAAAGTCAATGCAAAAAAATGTGACGAATATAACAGCATTGGCCGCAAATGTCAGTCAAAGGACACTGTGAACTGTTATTACGATGGACAAAGTGACCATTTCAATTACCCCGAAATCGTGCCGGCTAATGATTACATCATTGATTCTGAAGTGAACTGCGTTAACGGAGTGACTTCACAAAATTTCGCCAAACTATTGCATAGGAAAAAATCGAACCGTAAGAACTGATGCCAGATCACCATCGTAAAATCAACAGTAATAACCATGCTCATGTACAGTTTGGAAGCATGTGCGGGCCTGAAAAGTCATGAAGCTGCAGCTTCCATCGATACTGTCTCGATTTCCGACGGTACCATTAGGTCACGAGCGAGCGAAAATTGCAACCAGCGGTCGGAATCGAACTATCGCGTGAACTTCGTGACAGGCGCATTCCTTGTTTTAACAAAATAGTCTAAAAACATGCGTTCTGATGTGGGAACACAATTTCACAGTATATTTGCCACAGTTGTTGCCGACTCTACCTTTGAAATAAGACACTCATAGCTAATGGCATGGGAACGCAGATCAGTACCCCACCATTAACTTCAAAAATAGGTCTCCAGAAATGGTCCAATACTGACAGAGTAAAGAAGAATCACATTCTAGAAATTTCAAACTTTCTGTTTGTTCTTTTCCATGTGTATTTTGTCCCAGTATTTCGTGTTATGCACACCCTTTTGGTAGTTCGCGACCTTTACAGACGTAGACCCCTAACATAAGAGTACAGATTTATGCCTGAAATGCTGTCCTTATGTTTTTTTCTTCAGTTTTCAGATGATTTAAATGATTTGCAGGATTTTGGCCTATCTTATGCATTAATGACCATTATGACTCTCAGCTATACTCGTTACACTGCTTAATGGATGAACGGATTCGTGTTCCGCTAATCAACGGATAACATGAATATAAACGTATTCCTAATTTTGTGGAAAAATGAACTTCTGATTAAATTCATAAATTTTTCTGTGCACTTATTCGTGCTCACTGAAAATGACATGAGGTTTCGATTGGCGTCCCGATCCTCTTCAGTTAACTCAGTAAGAATACGGTTTTATCTGTTTCACGACAAGGTATACACTTATGCGTTATAATTGCAGTGAAGTACATTGTTCTTTAAGTGTTTATCTAGGTTCCTAAAACCGTGACATCTGAATGTCTGCTGAATTGTGTGGCCACATCAGGGAATGACATCTTTTCTGCAGTCGCAAAAAGTATGAACTCTGATCAGATAACCTGCATACTGTGTGTGCTTATGTGCTTTTATTATTGATAGCATCAGCGGTTGTGAACCTAAGCGGTAACGGAAACACTGTAACTAAATCTGTTGATTTTCCCATACCTGCCATCGGTATTGTTTGAGATTTAATTATTTTACCCATTTTTATCATGTCTGTTTTAGTGCCTTTGCAACAGAGCCATCACGGTCGTCCGGTCATGTCTAACATTTCCTCTTCCAAACCGAGGATGTTTTACTGTACGATATGCAGTCGAGAGTTTCACAGGTTGTACTACAAGCGGCATATGATAGTGCACACAAATGCTCGGCCTTATTTCTGCAATTTCTGTAGCAAACGCTTCAACGAACGTTCGAACATGTTAAAGCACAAACAACGACTGCACGGAAACGAATACCAGCACCTTGTTAAAGTATCTACTTCCCCAAATCCTTGTTGATCAAAAGTTTTCCTTCCCTATTA